TACTTCCTGCTCCGTAACGAACTGATGTGGCAGAGCGGGGTAAGGAAATCAGTTGCATAACAGCAGAATGGGAAGAGCGACCTTTCCGTTTCTAAGGAGTGAGAAACTTGTGCCAGCAGATCCCAGCCTTTTGACCAAACGCGAGTCAGTCGCCCTCTCCCGAGTGCTTGAGCGTGACAATCGTGTCCCTCCTGTTGTATCATTATTCATTTTTAAATAACACTCTTGGCCGATTAGGATAAAACTCTCGGCCGCTATGTGGAGCCCCAAAACGCCAAGCAGTAAAGTTTACGTGCACCTAAGTAGTCCTGAATGAACCTGGCGCCCAGGGCTCGCGGGGAGCGCCGGGCTCGCGCACGTGGGGAGCGAACAGCTGCGCGGCTGCCGCACTGGAGGAACTGGAAGCAGATTTAAGGGAATCGGAGGCACGGCCCGCCCAACCGGCCCGACATTCGCCACGTGCGATGCATTCCGCGTTGAGGCCGCCGTGGAGAAACAGAAATGTCGGCCCGGACAACGCATCACGCCTGCCTGGTCTTGGGAGGCCCGTGCAGGTGTTGAGCCGACCCACAGAAAGCAGTAACAACTTGAAAGGCTTATGCTGAGCTCTTCCCTGTGGGCTCCTCATCTCCGCTCCAGGCCCGGGGGACCTGCGTGGAACCGGGAGGTGGGACTCGGAGTCGCCTTCGACGAATTCCAGGAAGGGCAGACAGAGGCCGCGCAGCAGAGTCTGATGGCCTCGCCACACTGCTTCAAATTCCATTTTGTTTTAACAAGTTACGTGGAGGGGAGGAAAACTACGCTCAGAAAATATTCCCGAAAGGAAGGGCTTCCGAAAAGGACTCACGAACACACGGCCAGGCTTCCAATTTCCCTATTTCTTCCTTCACTTCTTTCCCTTGCTTCTATTTGCCTGAATTTCTCCTTTATTATCCAAATCTCGAACTTGCTGGATTTCCACCATAGCACCCTCGAAGAACTGCAGTGTTGCTTTATTGTAATAGTTTAGGCAATGTACAACATTTAGCTCCCTGAAACGTAAGACATACTATTATGGTTTTAATCTTTTCAAATGATTTTTGAAACGTAAATAGCAAAGGGTTTCTTCAAAAACGATAAATTGAGGATTTTTTTCAAAATTAATCTTCATTTTTATTTTTAGTTTCTGGCAAAAGAAAAAGTAGAATATGCTATTAATTTTACACTATGAGATCCTCAGGATTACCAATTTGTCCTCTGTGTTATTCTCTTTCTTTTTCCAGTTTTCACTTTTCGTTTGAACTGCATAATGTTTACGTTCACCCCTGTGCCGAGTCGGTACAGAACATAACACATCTTCATTCCTTTCTTCAGTCCCTTCCATCCCCCCTCCCCACCTTGTTCCCCTTCCTATTTGAGAAAGATCCATCTCCCCACTTTATATTATCTATCTTTTATTTTGTTCTTTATTTATACTTTGGGTTTCTTCTGTAAGAGAAACCATGGAATACAGAAGCTTGTCTGTCTGATTTATTTCACTAAACATTATGGTCTCAAGGTGCATCCATTTTCCTACAAATGACTCAAGTTTAGCCTTATTTAGGGTAGAATAGTACTCCACTGTGTATAAACATTACATTTTTTATGCATTCATCTGTTGATGAACACATAGGCCATTTCAAGATTTAACTATTATGGACTGTGCTATAAACATGGGTTTTCCTCTTAAGTTCCCCTAGGTTTCCTCATGAACACTCACAAAACTGGAAAGTCTCTTCCTTCACATTTTGAGAAATAAACAATGTGTACAGGCTCCAGCAGCCAGGTCTTCTCTCCACCCTCTCTTCTTGCTTCCCAAGTGGAACAGAAGCAGAGAGGAAGAGAGGAGGGCCTGAGAGGACAGGAGCCAGACTCGAACTGTCAGGTGTGCCCAGCCTCTGCCCTCTCGGAAGCCCTCGTGTGTGTCCACAGCCAGCAGGACAGCTGCACTTCGGAGGCGCAGGTGAGGGCTCCCCTCCCGCACCCCGCCAGGCTCCACCACATGCTCGGCTCTCTGATGTCTGACCCGGGCCCTGTGGAGGCTACTTGCACAAGCCTGGTCCTACTGGTGCAGTTGCTCCTCCTCGTCTGCAGGTCCTGTGGACTCGGCAGCCACGGGTTGAAAATATTTGAAAACAGCCCAGGCACAGTTGTGCCCCTGTAATCTCAGCACTGTGGGAGGCAGAGACAGGAGGATTGCAAGTCTGGGCCCAGCCGGGGCAGCTAGTGAGAGCCTGTCACAAGATTAAAATTAAAGGTGTCGGGGGGGGGGGTGCTGGGAATGTAGCTCGTGTGAAGGCCTCGGTTCCGTCCCCGTACTGGAAAAATGAAACGATTGTCTGTACTGAATATGTGCAGTTTCTCTTGCCATTTTCCCTTAAATATTGCATTGTGACACACAGGTGTTAGGAGTCATCTAGAAATGATTCAAAGTCCAGGAGAATGGGCGGCCGTGGGCAGGTACTGCAGCATTTTCTAGACTGGACTTGGTACCCAAGGGGGTCCTAGAACTGGTCCCACAGATACCAAGGAGGACACTGTGTCCCCGTCAGTGTGAGAATGGCTTGTGCCTCCTCAGCCCCCCGGGAGTGTTTGTCGATTGTAATTCCTGGCAAGTGTTTGAATTCTCCCAAGTGGCCAGTTTTCTGCACATACCACTGTGCCTATCAGTAAGGTAAGAAGGCTTCATGTGCAAGTGGGAATACAGAGAAACGGACAAAGTGTAAACTAGCACCACTGTTGTAACACACACGTGTGTTCCCACTACTGACTTGCAAGTTCCCCTTCTACAAATCCATCCCGGGGAAGTAAGCCTGTATGCCAACTAGCAAGTTCACCATCACAATCACTGCAACGTTAACTTTAACTTACTTACAGTAAGGCATCAGAAGTCCTAACAATGACAGACTGTTAAGGAGATAATGGTTCATTCACCCACTGGGATGAATGTGTGTTCAAGAAATGAGAAATAATGAAAGAGAAGTCTACAGCCCTGGAAAGGTAATGTTATAGTTAGAAGTAAAAGATATGGCCTACCTATTACAATCTAGGGTAAAACAAAAGGAATAGATTTTCTCCATAGAAAGTATGCACAAGAACACGTGATTATTTTTAATTAGAGTGACTATGAAAGTTTAAAAGATAAATAAATCAAACCCTGCAAAGTCGGGCAGACGCTGGATCTTAATAAGAACATGACACATTGCCCGGGGCAAGCTTCCCTCCCTGAACGCAGCAATCAGGAACCCAGCCAGCAGCTCAATGTGTCATAGTTTGCACAGCCACTGAGACTGTCGGCGTTGGCGGTGGGACAAGCCAGACACGAAGCGCCAAGATAACCCCAGCACATGAGCAGTGATTGTCCTTACCTCAGCTAATGCACTTTTAAAAGAACTGAAACTTTTACGGCTTGTTTTCAGAACTCCCCCTTTCCCCGCACCCCTCTGGCCACCCACGTGGTCCAAACAGTCCTGTCACAGAGAGGTGAAGAAGTCCTCTTATGTCCTGCGCCTCCTTTGGACAGAACTGGTGCAGACCACATTCATCAAGCAGAAAAACCTCGGCTAGGAGATCCTCGAAACACACAGAGAAAGGTAAACAGATGACGGAGTTACACTTTCTGAGACAGTTCAACTCCCCAAGGGCTTTTAAAGCCATTTTAGGTCATGATTGGGTAGCTCCCTAGATTTGCGACTCAGACACACACACACGCACACGCACACACGCACACACACATGCACACACGCGCACATATGCACACGCACACACATATATGCACGCACACATATGCGCACGCACACACACGCACACACGCACGCACACCCTCGGGAGGAAGGTGGGATCCTGAGCCCGGAAGAGGCGGGGCCTAGGAGACAGCTGGCTGCTTTCTGGGGACTGACGGATCTGGAGGGAAATCGGCCTGGCTTCTGAATATAAACAGGAATTAGCAAAGTAGAAGTAGAACAAATAAGCACAATGATTGAGAGGCCGGGCAAGGAGGAGAGAGCCCAGGCCCGGCCCTCCCTGCCCACGGCTCAGGCTCCTTCTGGGCCCCACGGTGCGCTTGGGCCCGGGGGAGAACCTAGGGGAAGCGGACGGCGTTAAGTGAGGGGGACTCGGGGCTCGCTCGCGGGGGCCTGGGAACTTTCCAGGGCTGCCTTTTCATTCTGGAAACCCGTGTGGCATCCAGCGAGCAAAGCAGGGACAACGGCTGAGCCCGCACCGCGTCTCCGTCCAGCGAGAGGCCGAGGTTGTTCCTGCTGCCCGAGGAAGGCGGCGAGCGGCCCTGCTGTCCGCTCCGAGAGCCCCCGCCCGGCGCCCTTGGGGGCCTGCCTTCGACCGTCAGGGTGGCTCAGGCACCGCAGCTCAGCGCTCTCCAGGCCATCAGAAACGCCCTCGGCTGAGGTCTGAGGGATCTGGAGGCACAGATTGTAAGGACAGAGCAAGGAGGGGGCTAACGGGACCGAGAGCTGCCAGTCAGAGAGGAGCTCTTGCCTCCCTCCAGAAGGGCTCGCGGGAGCTGCTGGAGCTCCGTCACGAGCCACCGTCGTTTGGAAAAGCAAAGCTCACTGATGTTCAGGGCCTGACACTTCTTAGCGTGACCCAGTCCTCCCTGAAAACTAGAGGAGGCGGAGACGGGCGCCTCCTGTGTCCTTGCCCAGCTTGCCTGATGGCGCTCTCTCTCTCTCTCTCTCTCTCTCTCTCTCTCTCTCTCTCTCTCTC